CTTCTCTGGTTACAGGAGAAGGTGCTGTAGGGCTGTGGGGAGGTGTTGGGGTTGAAGTAAGTGTGGACCAGGGTCCCTGCAGAAGGCGGACAAGGGAGGCAAGGGGAATATGTGTCTGGTGGTGGCATCTCGCCTGAGGTGGCGGAAATGGCATCTGATGATCTTCTGGATATGGATGCTGGTGGGATAGTAGGTAAGGACAAAGGGAACCCTATTGCTGTTGCGGGAGGGAAGAGAAGGGGTGAGGGCGCAAGTGTGGGAAATGGGTCGGACCCGTTTGCGGGCCTCATCGACAATGGAAGTGAGGAATCCTCGGTTGAGGGAGAAGGTGGACATTTCGAAGGGTCCCTTGTCGAAGTTGGCCTCATCTGAAAATATACAATGGAGACACAGGAACAGAAAGAATGGGATGGAGTCTTTACAGGAAGCAGGGTGTGAGGATGTATAGTCAGTATGTACAGTATAGCTGTGGGAGTCAGTGGATTTATAGTGGATATTAGTGGCCAGTCTATCCCCAGAAATGGAAACAGAAATGTTGAGGAAAGGAAGGGAGGTGTCAGAGTTAGACCAGGTGGTGGAAACTGGAGGCAAATCAATGAACTTTTCCAATTCTGGACAAGAGAGGGATGCAGCACCGATGATATCATCGATGTATCTGAGAAAGAGTTGTGGGCGGGGGTCCGGAATAGGACTGCAACAAGGAATATTCCACGTACACCACAAACAGACAGGCATAACTAGGGCCTATGCGGGTACACACGGCCACCCCTCTTACCTGAAGAAAATGAGAGGAGTTAAAAGAGAAGTTGTTGAGGGTGAAGACGAGCGCGGCCAAGCTGAGGAGGGTGGTGGTGGGTGGGGATGGTTCAGGTCTTTGCTCCAGGAAGATGTGGAGAGCTCTACAACCCTCCTGGTGGGGAATGGACATGTAAAGGGATTGCACGCCCATGGTGAAGAGGTGGTGGCTGGAACCTGCAAACTGGAAGTTTTGAAACCAGTGTAAGGCATCAGAGCAAGGATTGGATCAGGGGAAAGAAGGCTGAGTCAAGGTAGGAAGAGAGGAGTTCTGAGGGGCAGGAGCAGGCTGAAACAATGAACTTTGCAGGCAGATCCATCGATTTCGCCTCCAGTCCTGCTGAGCTTTTCCAGCAAATTTGTTTTGGTTCCCGATTTACAGCATCTGCAGTTCTTTCGGTTTTTATTAGAGTACACAGAAAGCTGTTTCCCATTGGCAGAAAGGTCAACAACTGAACACAGCAGTTTAAGTGGCTGGGAAAAAAAAATATTAAATTGTGACTTAATATTTTTACATATCAAGTGTTTGGAATGTGTTGCTTGAGAGTACAGTGAAGGATAAACCGCAGCTTTCAAAAGGGAAATGTATGAAAAAGATATAAAATTACATGGCAATGGAATCAAGCAGAGGGAGCAAGAATAGCTAAAATTCTCTTAGAGAGAGGGAAACAAACAGAATGTTCTCCATCTGTGCTGTAATTATTCTTTATGTATCCAGTCCTGGAATGATAACTTATCCCCAAATTGTTTTTAACTGCAATTCCAAAGTCCTAACTAACAGATCTTTGACTCTCTCTTTTCCATATACCTTCCGAATCCATGCATTTATTGAACTGGTTTCTTACCTCCACCATTGATGCCTTTGTCTCCTATAAAACCTTCTTTTTCATCCCTATGTTGTCAGAATCTGTGCTAGACATTTTCACTTCAGCTGCAATTTCCTTCAAGTTAATCACTGGGTTGACTAAAGCCATTGTCTTTCGCCCCCATCATAAACTCAGTAATATGAGCAAAAATTCCATCCCATTCCTTAGACATCATCCGAGTTTAAATCCAACTGTTCATAATTTTAGCACTTTTTCTGATGTCAACCTTCATTTCTGATATATTTCCTCTTCCTATATATCTTTCCTATCACAAAGACAACTATTTCCACTTCCATAACAATACAAACAATTCCTCCACACACCTCTTCCATCATTGCAGCTCATTTACCACTTAAACCCTATACCATATCTTTCTCCCCTCCAAGTTTAAGCTTCAATATACTTTGCTAGCCAATCTTCCATGACCTCAAGTATAAAACTTTTAGGATTTAAATTTCTTCATGTTTTCAGCCCTTCTATCTCTAACATCCTCCAGTCCTACAACCCAATCCCTGAATTCTGATGTTTCAGGATTGTAATTATTTTATGGTTTGTGGTATAATTTCTATCTTCACTTCGAGTAGCGGTGCAACATCTCTAGTCTTAGGTTCGTGTCAGTCTATAATTGACCGCTTTGGATTTTATATAAGCTTTGACTCTTTTTGTGAATTCCACCTCCCTTTGATTAACGAATGGTGTCTATGTTTTCTGTTACTTAGTCCTTTCGTACTAGAATTCTCGCCATTAATCTCTTCTGCTCTCCAGCTCTACCTCCTTTAAGATCCCTCTTAATAAATCTACCTTTTGACTTAGTTTTTGGCCATCTCCACCACCACTTTTGGATTGCTGTCAAATATTTAGCTGAATGCTTCTGTGAAATGCCTTGACATGATTTTTAAAGGAAGTCTATGGCTGAAGTTCATTGTTATAAATTCAAATAATTTTAATAGACAGACAAGTCTTTGTTCCTTATTTTTAAAACTGCTGAGAGATTTAACTGGCAGCCAAGTTAGATAATCTCATGTGAATTGATATGTTAATGTTTTTAACAAGCAAACAAAACGACAGACCCATCCTCTAAACACTTCGATTACATCAACCAATTAGCATTCAAAACAGTAGACTAACTGTATCCATTGCTCCCGATGTGGCCTCCTCTACATCGGTGAGATCAAGCGCAGACTCGGGGACTGTTTCGTGGAGCATCTGTGCTCTGTACGTGATAATCAACACCACCTTCCAGTTGCTAACCATTTTAATTCCCTCTCCCATTCCCTTGATGACACGTCCATCCTGGGCCTCCTCCAGTGCCACAAATGACGCTACACGCAGACTGAAGGAGCAACACCTCATATTCCGCCTTGGTAGCCTACAGCACGACGGCCTGAACACATTTCTCACCAGATTTAAATTCTCCCCACCCCCCGGCCTCATTCCACATCCAAACCTCCCTTTCCTCCCTGCCTCGTTGACCTGACACAACCTGTCCATCTTCTTCCCCACCTATCTGCCCCACCCTTTCCACTGACCAATCCCCACTACCCTTACCTGCATCCACCTATCATCATCCCACCCACCTTTCCCCAGCCCCACCCGTCCTACCTCCCACCTCCTTGACCTGACACAACCTGTCCATCTTCTCTCCTACCTATCTACCCCACCCTTCCCACTGACCAATCCCCACCACCCCCCACCTGCATCCACCTATCATCATCATAACAACTTCCTCCAGCCCCACCCCTCCTCCCTCTATTTATTTCCCAGCTCTGAAGGGTCCCAACCGGAATCTCCTACTCCTTTGATGATGCCTGGCCTGCTGTGTTCCTCCAACTCCACACTATGTTCATTCTGACTCCAGCATCTGCAGTTCTTGCTATCTCTGAGTGACAAATTCAGAACAGAATTGGCCAAGTCTGAGAGTGGTGTAGTTGGGAAAAGGAAAGAGTCAAACAGTCAGGAACAAAGCAGAGAATGAGGTAGGACTGATAAATTAAACTAAAAACTTATTTCAATGCAAGAGGCCTGACAGGGAAGGTAGATGAACTGAGGGCATGGTTGGGAACGTAGGACTGGGATATCATCGTGATTACAGAAACATAGCTCAGGGATGGACAGGACTGTTCCAGAGTATAGATTCTATAGGAAGGTTAGAAAGGGGACGCAAAACAGGAGCGGGAATGGCATTTTTGATTAGGGATAACATTACAGCTGTACTTAGGGAGGATAGTCCTGGGAGCACATCCAGGGAAGTTATTTGGGTAGAACTGAGGAATAAGAAAGGTATGATCACCTTGTTCGGATTGTATTATAGACCCCCCAATAGTCAACAGGAAATTGAGAAGCAAATTTGTAAGGAGACCTCAGTTATGGGTAAGAATAATGAGGAGGCAGTGGTAGGGGATTTGAACTTTCCAAACATAGACTGGGACTGCCATTGTGTTAATGGCTTGAATGGAAAGGAATTTGTTAAGTGCGTACAAGAAAATTTTCTGATTCAATATATGGATGTAACTACTAGAGAAGGAGCAAATCCTGACCTACTCTTGGGAAAGAAGGCACAGCAGGTGAATAAAATCATGAGGGGCATAGATAGGATGAATAGCCAAGGTCTTTTCTCTAGTCCAAAACCAGAGGGCATAGGTTTAAGGTGAGAGGGGGAAGATTTAAAAGGGAACTAAAGAGCAACTTTTCAGGCAGAGGGTGTTGCATGTATGGAATGAGCTGCCAGACGAAGTAGTGGAGGCTGGTACAAATACAACGTTTGAAAGGCATCTTGATGGGTATCTGAATAGGAAGGATTTAGAGGGATATGCGCCAAATGGTGGCAAATGGGACTAGATTAATTTAAGATATCTGGTTGGCACAGACGAGTTGGACCTAAGGTTATGTTTCTATGCTATACAGCTCTGAGTGTTTCATAATGATGGGAATTGTTGATTCAAACTTCAGCATTTAGGGCAGATTATGTTTGAAGGTTTGGCACTGTCACAGGATGTGCATCACTCTAAGCTGTGCTTATATAAATTCCAAAGCAGTCAGTTATAGACTGATACGAGCCTAAGACTAGAGATGTTGCACAGCTACTTGAAGCAAAGATAGAAATTATACCACAAGCCATAAAATAATTACAATTCTGAAACATCAGATTCATTAAAACATTGCACATTTCAGTTGTGTGTCTGTAATGCAGAGTTAGAGCATTCTGTCCAAGGTTTTCACACTGATATGGAAGATCATTTTATCACTTTCTGCATAATTCCATTAAATATTCCATCTATTACCAGCATTACACTTTTCAAAATCTTTTCCTGTCATTAATTAAGTGAACTTGATATTTACCCCCATTTCAGGTCCACTTCTCTCAGGAATGATGTCATGTACATTTTTATAATATCCAAGCCCCACCATGGTAAAACGGACCACCACTCCCATATACAAGGCCAGAATTGGAATCAGGAGTGGCTCTGTGCATTCTAGATGACTGTGCAGCAAAATGGATACAAATACAATCTGGAAAGAAAGTGAAGATTAAGCTAAACACCAGCTTCTGACTTGCAAATAGTTAAGTGAATGTGAAGCACATGTTGATAAACACAATAAAGCAAAAATCATTTGGCCACCAACCTCCTGTAATACTGATTTTGTGAAGTGAACTATATTCCATAAACAGACTACATTTTACATAAACACCTTGGCGCGTTTTACATGGGTAGTGCTATATAAACGCGAGTTGTCAATATGATCACGATGATAATGGCAACAGAGGGCAATTTAAGAAGAGAGTATTATTGACAGTTTGAGGAAATGAAATGAGTTTCCACTTTCACCATATGGATTTGTACATCAGGTACAACACAGGTCAGCTTCCACCTTGCTAGCTCCTTTCATCCTCTCGAGATTTTCTGCTTTAAACCATCTTCATTTTTTTTTTCCTTTCTCTTTGTGTAATGAAGTGGAAAGAAGTAGAGTGATGCCCTGCACCTTGTTGTCTCGGATTCTCCAGCATCTGCAGTCCCTACTATCTCAGAGTGATGCACAGCTCTGTTCTGTGACTGTTAGGCAATATAGAGGACAACTACAAGTATGATTTGCAATGTTAGAAGGGTGAGCAATAAAGGACATATAATAAGAAGTGAATATTCACAAGAAGTGTTATAGATTTTTCAGAAGTTTGTAGAAGATACTCAGCAAAAATCAACTTGTAACAATACTTATATTTAATCTAAGTCAGCTGGATAAGAAGGTAGAAGCTCAATAAGTGTAAGTTTATGACAGAATTCAGAAATTACATTGTTGTAAAGAAAATTACCAATGGCTCAACCCAGCCGTCGGGAATAATTGTTGAGCATCATAAGAAAGAGATGTTGTAGTAAGATGATGTTAAGGTTGATATTCTGGAATGAAGAATCAAATTAACCTTCATCCAAATTAGCAGAAATGTCTCAAATTCCTACTACTTCACATTTTTATTAGAGGAGTGAAAGCTCTCACCACTTTCGATCACTTCTTAAGAATGAAAGAATGGTTCAATAATCCGTGAAATTGGTCTCTTACCTTCAGACATATAATTTTATACTATTTCAAAAGTTACAATCTTTCTGGTATGTTATTTGTACATCATTTTTTATGTCTCTTAGTCAGAAATTTTAAAACATTCAATTCAGACCTCAAAAAGGAGCCAAACTTTATATCTAGTGTTTGCTATGCAATGCAAGTTTTGAACTTTGAGCATAACTGTGCTATCATACAGCGTTTACCACATTATTCCATGAATCGCTGCAGATATCCTTAAAAACACACTCAAACAACAAGAATCTGTGGTTTATATCCAATAACTACTTGCTTCTTGGCATGTTTCACAGAATCTCATAAACTGACCATGATAGGCAGGAACTGAAGAATGTAGATTGGAGGCAGATGTTTGAGGGCAAATCAACCTTTGGTATGTGGGAGGCTTTCAAGTGTAGGTTGCTGGGAACTCAGGACCAGCACATTCCTGTAAGGATGAAGCATAAGCATGGCAAGTTGAGGGAACTTTGGATAATGAGAGATATTATGAGCCTAGTCAAAAAGAAAAAGGAAACATTTATCAAGGCTAGGAGGCTGGCCACACACAAAGCAAGGGTGGAATACAAGGTAAGTAGAAAGAAACTTAAGCAAGGAATCAGAGGGGCTAAAAGGGGTCATGAAAAGTCATTGGCCAACAGGATTAAGGAAAATCCCAAGGCTTTTTATACATAGAGAGCAAGAGGGTAGCCAGAGAGAGGGTTGGCCCACTCAGGGATAGGGAAGGGAATTTGTGTGTGGAGCCAGGGGAAATGGACGAGGTATTAAATCTGTACTTTGCGTCAATATTCACCATACAGAAGGACTTGGTGGATGATGAGTCTGGGGAAGGGTGTGCAGATAGATTGGGTCCTGTTGAGATCAAAAAGGAGGTGGGTACTGGGGGTCTTGAAAAACATTAAGGTAGACAAGTCCCCAGGGCCTGATGGGATATACCCCAGAATACTAAGGCAGGCATGGGAGGAAATTGCTGGGGCTTTGAGAGAAATCTTTGTATCCTCACTGGCTACAGGGGAGATCCCAGAGGATTGGAGAATAGCCAATGTTGTTCCTTTGTTTAAGAAGGGTGGTAAGGATAATCCAGCTAATTACAGGCCGGTGAGCCTTATGTGAGTGATAGGGAAATTATTGGAGAGGATTCTTCGAGACAGGATTTACTCCCACTTGGAAATAAATGGGCGTATTAGCGAGTGGCAACATGGTTTTGTGAAGGGGAAGTCGTGTCTCACTAACTTGGTTGAGTTTTTTGAGGAAGTGATGAAGATGATCAATGAAGGTACGGCAGTGGATGTTTATCTACATGGACTTCAGTAAGGCCTTTGACAAGGTCCCTCATGACAGACTGATACAGAAGGTAAAGTCGCATGGGGTCAGAGGTGAGCTTGCAAGATGGATAAAAAAATTGGCTTGGTCATAGAAGACAGAAGGTACCAGTGGAAGGGTGCGTTTCTGAATGAAGGGCTGTGACTAGTGGCGTTTCTCAGGGATCAATATTGGGACCTTTACTATTTGTAATATATATAAATGATTTGAAGAAAATGTAACTGGTTTGATTGGTAAGTTTGTCGATGACACAAAGATGAATTGTGGATAGCAATGAGGACTGTCAAAGGATACAGTAGGATATAGATCAGTTGGTGACTTGGGCAGAGAGGAGGAGTTGGGGTAATGCATTTTGGAAGGTCTAATCCAGATGGAAAATATACAGTAAATGGCAGAACCCTTGAGAGTACTTATAGGCAGAGGGATCTGGGGGTACAGATACACAGGTCACTGAAAATGGCAACGCAGGTGGGGAAGGTAGTCAGCAAAGCATACGGCATGCTTGCCTTCATTGGCCAGGGCATTGAGTTTAAAAACTGGCAGGTAATGTTGCAGCTTTATTGAACCTTAGTTAGTCCGCATTTGGAATATTGTGTACAATTCTGGTCACCACACTATCAGAAGGATGTGGTGGCTTTGGAGAGGGTACAGAAATGATTTACCAGGATGCTGCCTGGTAGTAGCATTAGCTATGTGGAGAGGTTGGATAAACTTCGTTGTTCCAGTGAGAACAACCCGAGGTTCAGTGGTGACCTGATAGAGGCCTACAAGATTACGAAGGGCATGGACAGAATGGACAGTCAGAAGCTTTTTCCCAGGGTGGAAGAGTCAGTTACCAGGGAGCATAGGTTTAACGTGTGAGGAGCAAGGTTTAAAGGTGAAGTACGAGACAGGTTGTTTTTTTTTTTTTATAAACACAGAGGGCGGTGGGTGGCTGGAACTCGCTGCCTGGGGAGGTAGTAGAAGCAGATACTATAGTGACTTTTAAAGGACGTCTTGACAAATACATGAATAGGATGGGAATAGAGGGATATGGTCTCCGGAATGGTAGGAGGTTTTAGTTGTGATGGGCAGCATGTCGGTGCAGGTTTGGAGGGTTGAAGGGCCTGTTCCTGTGCTGTAATTTTCTTTGTCCTTACATCTGCACTGGTTCTCCAACAAGCAATACAACATAATGCCGCAGGCCTGGCAGCATCAGAGGAGTAGGAAAGCTGACATTCCGGGTGAAGGGTCCAGACCCAAAACGTCAGCTTTCCTGCTGCTCTGATGCTGCCTGGCCTGCTGTGTTCATCCAGCTCCACACCTTGTTATCTCAGACTCCAGCATCGGCAGTTCCTACTATCTCTGACAACATAATGCCATTCTCCTGCCTTTTCTCCATACCCTTGCACATTGCTTTCACTCAAATAGTGATCTATAATGCCGTCTTGAATGCCTCAATGGATTCTCTCTCCGGCACAGTGGCTCAGTGGTTAGCACTGCTGCCTCACAGCATCAGGGACCCGAGTTCGATTCCACTCTCAGGTGACTGTCTGTGTGGAGTTTGCAACTTCTCCCCGTGTCTGCGTGGGTTTTCTCTGCGTGCACCAGTTTCCTCCCACAGTACAAAGTTGTGCAGGTTAAGTGGACTGGCCATGCTAAATTGCCCGTAGTGTTCAGGGATGTGTAGATTAGGTGGGTTATAAGGGGATGGGTCTGGGTGGGATGCTCGGAGGGTCGGTGTGGACTTGTTGAACCGAAGAGCCTGTTTCCACACTGTAGGGATTCTATTAATCAAACTTCTCGGCACTGGATTTCCAGACCTGAACCACTTATTGTGTGAGTAAGTTTTCTCTCACAGCACATTTGTTACATTTGCAAATCACGTCTTTGTGCACTCTCATTCTTGACCATTTTACAAGTTAGAACACAGTTTTCCTTGTTTGTCCTATCCGGATCTCTCATGATTTTGAAAACTTCTATCAGATCTCCCCTTAGACTTCTTCACTCCGAGGAGGCAGTCTCAACCTCTTCAAACTACCCTCTCTCAAATATACTCACATCCTTATTGTATGGAACCTAGAATTATACACAATGCTTCTGCTGAGGTCTAACAAGTGTCTTGTTCACCATAACCTCCTTGTTCTTGTACTCTATGCTCCTATTAATAAAATCCGGGATACAGTGTCCAAACTGACTGTTCCATGTTTCCAGAGTACAAAAGTACTACATGTAGAATTCAGCATGGATCACTGAGTTACACTGAATATGTATTTCAGTCACAATTTATAATTAATCTATGTTAAGATAGCCGTCCAGCAAAGCATAATTTAAATCTTTATGAATTGTTTTATTTTTTCCCACCAATCTCTAATGCACATATATCAAATAATTATGAAGGAATTCAAGGAAAGAATGCAAAATATAGAATGTTCTACCAGAATTGTTTAGATGCAGATCATGAGCTTTAAAATCTTTACACTTCCCCATTCTGCTCTCCCCAAGTCTTTGACAGTACAAATCATTGGCCTCTTACCTGAGCAATGACATCTGAAACTGAGGCACAGCCCACCAATAAACTGTATTTATGTTTCAGCAGAATGCCAGCATGGGTCCATGCCTAAAAAAGGAGTATTAAATAAAATTCATTCAGGTCACATTTCTACTGAAGATCAGTAACACAAAATGGGCTTCTAATTGTTGTATATGCAAATAGGTTATACATTCAAACTATAGCAGAACCAATTCCCATCGATGCCAATGGGAGAGCAGTATCCATTTATGTAAAACTGTTCGGCCCAGTGCAAAAGTCATTAAAACTCTTCTTTTTCATTTTATGGCTTTATGGTGGGAGAAAAAAAGCAAGACTTCCTTCATTTTTTTTCTGTATTGTTTTCCTCAGTTTTTTACTCACCTCCCTCAAATTGAGAAACAGTTCTGAATCCATTGTCAATGTAGCCAGTTGCCAGTAGCCAGTAAACATCACACAATCAGAAGGATCTTCAGCACAGCAAACGGCCCTTTGGTACATCGCATCTGCGCCAGTCAAATAGAACCACCTAACCAATCTAATCAAGGACTATTTCTAGCCAAGAACTCTCCCTCATTTTCCCTCCCCTGTTTGGCAGACACTGCAGAACAGACTGCACTATACTGGAAACTCCAGGAATAGAAAAATAGAGTTGAATGAGTTTCTATATATATCTAATTGTTCAGTTTGGCAAGTGAATGCAGGCGAGAACAGCACTGAGCTCTCCTGTCACACATCTCGCATTCAACACCAATATATTAGAAAAGACCAGGTGAGGTCCTGGCAAACATGCATAAAATCAGACTCTACAGAATGGTAGGGAAAGAAAGGTCTAGGAAAACAGAAAAATAAACAAAGTTAATCAGATCTTAGTTCAATCCTGTAAAAGTGTTACTTAAATCCTGTTAAACAAACTCCTGAGTCTCAGTATAATGGATGAAATCATTATCTTTCTGAAACTGTATAAGGTTTGTATGAAATCTGTATTCTGTAATGATCAAGGCCATTGATCATAAACACAATGTAAGAATCTCTCAAATCCTGAACCTGTCAGCACAAGCAAAAATTCAAAGTTATACAAAATTTCTTCACATGCTTTCACGCGAGTCACTCTGATAAGTGCAGATTTAGATGTACCAGAACAGAAAACAGAATAACATTTTCCCATGTCTGCATGAACAAAAGTTTTACTTGCATTTGCAATATGTATTTCCAACCAATGGGAATCTTTTACCGTTTGCTTTGTAAATAATTCCACGGCTCCATCACAGAACTGTTCATATATCTAGATTTAATCCATTGAAGTTATATTAAAATGATTTGTCTGTAATAATTGTACACACATTCTAATGAGTGGTCATAATGAGATAATAACTTCTTACCATTGTCAAGTAAGTCCAATTTGTCAATGTACTGTTAAAATACAGTAGTCATTTCAAATTTCAAGAAAAGTCCTCTTGCAAAGCACAATTTTTCTTTCCCAGGGCATTCTCAATGATGCTTAAGAAGATCTAGTAATATCCCCAGGTGTATTCCCTTGCACCTGTACTCCGAGTGTTCTGGAACTAATAGGGTACAATGCATTCTGTCCATCTCTGGACAAGTATGCCCAGTCAATGCTCTTGTCTCTGAAATGTATTTTAGTATAACTGAGGAAGACTGCAGTATAAACGAAGAGCACTGAATCAAGTTTGTAGCATTTATATCACAGAAATATTTGCAGGAGTTAATAAATAGGTGACGTTGAGTGACTTGCACTTTCCACATGGGATCAGGGAATATCCTAAGCAGCAAACAGAGACAGAAGTTTTATTGGAGTAGTGCAATGTACTCTTATTTCTAAGTTGTGCCATGTGGTTTCAGTGGAGTTGGGAAGTTGTGTGTGCAGGAGAGGAGGCATTTTGCTCTTTTATTTTACATATGACAGCATCTAATCAGAAGAATTAGTTGGCAGGGTTTCACACAGATGCAGTGCCCTTGCTCTCTAGCTGAAAGGTTGGGGGCAAGTCCATCTACTTTCAGTTGGCTCACCCGCAGCCAGTTAACAACAAGTGGCCGTGGCACTTCTGTACCCATCTGAGAGGAAGTCTTGATTCAGAAAGCCTGTCTATATTGTCCTTTCATCTTTGGTTTTCCAGTTCACTATTTACAACATTCCCAATTTACATGTCATCTGCCAATTTACTGACTAAATCGCATACATTTGTGACTAGAACCTTAACGTACACTATAAACAGCAAGGGACCCAGCACCGAACCCTTGGTAAACCACTGGACACAGGTTTCCAGTCACAAAAATACCCTGTAAAAACCAAAAGAACTGCAGATGCTGTAAATCAGGCTCAAAAACAGAACTTGCTAGCAAAGCTCAGCAGGTCTGGCAGCATCTGTCAGGAAAAAAAAATCAGTTAACGTTTCAAGTCTGGTGAGCTCTGAGGAAGGGTCACCAGACCCAAAACATTAATTCTGATTATTTTTGTGAAGAAAACATCCTGGATGGGGTGCAGAGGAGATCCACCAGGCGGTTGCCTGGGATGAGGCATATTAGTCAAAAGATCAATAATGAGGGGATTCAGCCTGTGCACATGTCAATAAAGGGTGACTTGGTGATGGAATACCAGCCTCCACGGAGTTATTTCAGTGGCAGTGAGAGAAAATAGTATGTGGCTGAAGAACATTCGCTTGTAATAGTCAAGTTTGAGATGGGGTAAGCATTTCTGGCATTATGCCTTTATTTGGGAAGCTTGACTCGTTCTAACATGCCATCGAAGAGTGGCCCAGTATGTGGAAAGAATGTTACTTTTTTCCCCAGGCAAATGACATTGGGACAGATGAAGAGCAATGACTAATCCTTCTGACTGCTTGCAAACCCACAGCATTTTCAATTATTAGGGCTTAACTTTCCCAGAGGCACCAGACACTAAAACCTTCCAAGAGTTAACAGATTTGGTTAAAAAATATTACAACCCTGAATCGCCTCTAATTCTGAGATATTATCCACTTTGTTCAGCTGATCGAGAACCAGGTGAAGCCCTTTCAGGATTTTTGACAAGGTTAAGACAACTGGCAGAGGGATGTGATTTTAGGTTAACCTTGAATGAGATGCTGAGAGACAATTTGGTATGTAGGATTAATGACGTAATAATACAAAAGCACCTACTAGCTGAAGCACAATTGGACTTCAAAAAGGCACTACAACTGGCTCTCTCATTAGAAAATGCGGCAAGTGGAGCATGGGAACAACAGGGCATCCCAATGCCAGTGAAACCTTCACCTGTCCGAATGAGCTTGGGGAACACCACTTGAGTGTAGGCAATTGCAGAGCCTCACGCAGGGCATAACCTGAGCAGAGGGATCCTAGGCAAGTCCACAGCAAAACCCCACAACAAAGCTGAGCTTCTGTCAAATGGCTAAAATGTTCTTTAGGATCTGAGCCGGCAAGGCATTGTAGTTGCTACCGGTTTGTGAACTTAAGACAACAAAAGAGTTCTACCAGGAGTGAACTGAGTAAGAGAACTTGTAGGCCAGTGTCCAGGAAAGTGCAAACCCTGGAAAGCTTGCCTATGTTTCGGGTGGAACAATTAAATTGCTTAGCGACATCCAACTCAGAACCAATTAAAATTAATGTTTGGTGAATTGGTCATCCGGTTCTCATGGAGGTTAACACCAGCGCAGCTGTATCAGCGGTTGCAGAATCTGTCTTTAACTAGATTCGGTCTGGACTCCAAACCTTGCACAACACCTCAGCCAGACTGAGAATGTAAACAGAGCACCCGTTACAGATTAAGGGTACGACTTCAGTTCGGTCTCTGGGTCGGTTTACGGAATAGACAGCACTGGTTGTACCAACTGTAAAGCCTGACAGTTTGGGTCACCTTTGTGGGGATTTTAAGCAAATGGTAAACTGCTTCTTGCAGCTGGATAAAAATCCGATCCCTCACATAACAGGACATTACGCAAAACCGACGGGAGGAGGGGCTGCTGTCCTTCAAGACTGGGCAGCACGGCGGCTCAGTGGTTAGCACTGCTGCCTCACAGCACCAGGGACCCGGGTTCAATTCCATCCTTGGGCAACTGTCTGAGGAGTTTGCACATTCTCCCTGTGTCAGCGTGGGTTTCCTCCAGGCGCTCCAGTTTCCTCCCACAGTTCAAAGATGTGCAGGCTAGGTGGACTGGCTATGCTAAATTGCCCATAGTGTTCAGGGATGTTTAGATTAGGTGGATTATAGGGGAATGGTCTGCGTGGGATGCTCTGAGGGCCGGTGTGGACTTGTTGGGCCGAAGGGCCTGTTTCCACACTGTAGAGATTCTATGATATATGATCCTATGAAGCTGGACATGAGCCACACCTATCTGCAATTGTGAACAGATGACAGGTCCCAGAAGTATGCCACAATTAATACCCGTAAAGGTTTATACTAATATACAAGTCTGCTATTTGGGGTATCCTGTGCCCTTTTCCAGCGGATGATGGAGAACAATTTACAAGGGCTAGCCCAGGTTGCCATTTCTCCAGATAATATGCTAATATTTGGGAAGACCAATAAAGAACACTTGGACATAGTGCTTAAACATTTCTCCCAGGTGGGCATATGCCTTAGACAGGAAAAATGTGTTCCAGGCACCCTAAGTGACCTACTTGGATTACAGAGTCAACAAAACTGGGTTACACCCATTGGAAGACAAAGGGAGGGTGGATCAACGGTGCCCCAGCTCCCACATCTGTACCAGACCTTAGGTTGGTGAATTATTATGAAAAATTCATGCGTAACCTGGCCTCCATACTGGCACCCTTACACCTGCTATTGAAAAAGAGTCAGCCTTGGAAATGGTCCCATAGCCAAGAAGTCGCCTTTAGTGAAGTGAAAAAACAGCTATCGCCATCTAAGGTGTTGGCCCACTATGATCTGAAGCAAGATATGGTGCTGTCATGCGCTGCCTCCCCATACGCTATCAGGGTAGTGTTGTTCACAGATGGCCCAACAGAGCAGAATGCCCAACAGCCTTTGCTTCCCAGACTTTGACTGATGCCAAATGCAAATACACCCAGATAGAGAAGAAAGGTTTGATGGTCACCTTTGGTGTGAGGAAGTTCCAATACCTTTATGGATGTAAATTTGTCATAGTAACGGACCAGAAACCCCTGCTAGGGCCACCGAAAGAAGGCAAGGCCATGCTGCCCATTGCTTCTGGTATAATTCAACGGTGGGCCCTTATTCTCAATGTATACACAAGTTGGAACACCGTCCAGGAGGCCAAGTGGCTAATGCAGATGCCTTGATGCACCTCACACTGGCAGATACTCCATGGGTGGTGCCTCCCAGGAAGACCGTTCTGGTTTTAAACTTCCTGGACACCCTTCTGGTCATTGCTAATAATATACTACTGTTAACACAAAAAGATCCTGTCCTGGTAAAACTATAACGGCTGGTGGTAATGGAGGAAACAGATGGGCCATCACAACCAGGACTGAAATCTTTCTGGACCTGTTGAGACCAGATCCCATACAGGACGGCATATTACTATGGGGAGCAACAGTGATTGTCCTGAGTAAAGATCATCAGATACTCGTTGAACTCCCCCAGGGTCATCCAGGGGTTTCCAAAATGAAGATATGACCAAATGTTTTAACTGGTGGCCAAGATTGGATGCTGACATAGTTGCTTATGGGGGCTAATGCTCAGAGTGCCAACAAGAATGAAAATTGCCACCACCAGTCTCCCCACACTTGTGGGAATAGCTAGGTAAATCCTGGACTCAGTTACATGTTGACTATGCCGGTCCTTTCGTGGACTCAACGTTCCTGGTCATTGTGGGTGCCCATTGGGCATGCATAGAATTCATTCTGCACACTCAGGGATGACTATTGAAAAGCCGCGAGCATCGTTTTCCAATACACAGACTCCCAGAAGTATTGGTCACGGACAATAGGACGTCATTTACCAGCAAGGAATTCAAGTATTTCCTAAAGTTGAATGACATTCAGCATGTTTAGACAGCTCCATATCATCCATTGTCCAATTGTCTAATGGAAAGAGCAGTCACTTGATACCAAACTGTCCCTGCTCCTGTTTGATTAAAGGACCACCCCTCACACAACTACAGGGATAGTTGCTGATGCAGTGAAGACTCCTCATCCAGTTAAACCTGTTATTCCCAGTGAGAGGGTGACATTGTGCATGAGAGAAACTGTTAGAGAGAGAGCACACAAGCAAGAAAATAACAGAAGCAGGAATACCAATACTGGCCACATGCTTCCTTAAAAAGTTTGGTGCTGGAACCCGCATTTACAAGGTGAGGTCAGGTCCCATGACATACAATGTTTGGGTACTTGAGGCAGTTCTGAACAAACATGTAGATCACCTGAATGCTGCTACCTCACAAACAGGGCTGGAGAAAAACATACCTGACCCCTCAGAACAGCCAGACGGCCTGTCAGAAACTGTGGTTTCTCCCCCTCTGTCTAGCATCGAGGAAACCCCAAAGACCAAAGACGGATGCAGCCTCAATACCATTACAGCTGGAAGAGGAGGAGGAAACTCTCCCATGACGCTCCAGAAGCAAGTGGTAGGCTATGGTCCGGTACAAACCGCCTGTGTGCAAGTCAGAGGAACTGGACCTAGGGCAAAAATATCCCAGGAGAAACGACCAGAGAAAGGCCAAACCTACATTGCCGGACTTGGGTGGATGGATGTAGTGATTGGAACCAGGTGGACCTTATTGACAAGAAATCCTTGATTTGGGTTGTTAACCAGGGAACTCCTGGCTGACAAATATAAAAACAGGATTTCTCTCAATGCCTTGAGGGGGAAGTGGGCACTGCAACGGTGGAGTGCTTTACTTTCCCCCTCCAATTCTACTCTGATTTGATCCTTACCCTCCCCTTCACTTACTCTTTCACAAAGGCATTGCCCCTACCGGGCTCCGTCTGACACTGGTTCCCTGCCCACATGGGCGTTTTTCCTGGTGTTGGAAAATATTGAATAAAATTATTTGCACTTGGTGTTTTTATTGATTCCTGCACTTCAACACACAACACAGGTGCTGTGGGGAAAAATAAGCTCTACTGCTGTAAGGCATTGTAGGGGTATAAAAAAAAAATATAAACAGAGGATTTCTCTCAATATCTTTAGGGAGAGTGGGCACCCGTTGGGGCTGAGTGCTTTATTTCCCCCTTCAACTCTATTTTGATTTAATTCCCACTCTCCCCATTTACTTCTTTTCTTCCCCACAAAAGCATTACCCCTATCAGGTCTTGCTTGTGGCTGGTTCCCTGCCATGTGGGTGTTTTTCCTGGTGGTGGAAATATTGAATAAAATTATTTGTACAATGGTGTCTTCACTGAGTCCCTGCACTTACACACACACACACACACACACACACACCACAGATACTGTGTGGGGACATAAGCACTATTGCTGGATAGCAATAGTGTGGGGGTAACCAAAACAAAACAATAAACAGGGAATTCAAAGAGTCTCCTGACTTCAAGGACTATCTCCAACCTGGCTGGTCACAGCCAGTATAATGTACACATGTAAATAAAGATTGACTTGGTGATAGGATACCCGCTTCTGTGCATTTATTTCAGTCACTTTCGTTCTATATACTGCATCTCTTATATGACTTCTATTTTGGTTTTTATTTCATGTCTCATACTGGTTGAGGAGTAGCTTTAACCAAAGAAATTGAATTGGCTCTTGTTGATTCGACATTCCACAGGGCGGCACAATGGTTAGCCTCACAGCGCCAGGGACCTGCTTCGATTCCAGCCTCGGGTGACTGCATGTGTGGAGTTTGCATGGATTTCTGTCATGTGCTCTAGTTTCCTCCCACAGTCCAAAGATGTGTAGGTTAGGGGGATTGGCCCTGCTAAATTGCCCCATAGTGACTAGGGATTGCAGACTAGGTGGATTAGCTATGGTAAAATGTGGAGTAATAGAGATAGGGCAAGGATCTGGGTGGGATGCTCTTTGGAGGGTTGGTGCATTCACTTACTGCCACTGATTAGCAGTCATCACTAGATTTTCATGTCTACATGCTATCACCATCACTGCCATTGTTGCCTCGTTGTTTTAGGGTACATTACTTAGATGGAGGTAAAGGCTTCAGCTTTTCTGATGTTATCCATGTGGTGTGTCGGGCTTACTGACTGACAGAAGTCTGCAAGCTATAAACATTGTGATGCACTTTGTAGTTTTCTATAAGTCAGTTTGCATAACAAACCACAGAGTCAGGTTCCTGTTGAATCACATGTCTTGAGGTTGACTAACAACACTAACTATTTTAATATTATAATATTGCAGACTCATCCCACACAGTCTGGGTTCTGTTCTGTTCTGGCTTCCTGATGTTACAGATGAAACTATAACTGGGTTAATAGCAGCACCAGCGGATGAGGCACACAAGTGGTCAGTGGGTAACATCATAAGGGCCTCAACTGATGGCGAGACAGCATTCTTGGAAAATTATTTATTGGAGGTAGATATCTTCAGAAATAAATAAACAAACAAATAAAATGACTTGCAGTAGGCCAGAACCATCAGTCCACTTGTCCATCCACACAAATTTTAACTTAAATAAGGCAAAGATCTGTGCTTCAGATTTGATAGGTTTAGTTGATATGAGTTGAGAAATTATGTTATAGCTGACAGTATGGCAACCAAGCTTTATTCCTTAGCTATTTAATTTGGATTTCAAATAAAAGCTGGAAAGGGGTGGAAAAGCTGGAAAACTAGCAATTAAAGGCATTGGGTAAATTGATGGATCAGCTGCCCACCTGGTGGCCAATATTAGGCTACTTCATGCCCTTAGCAGCCAGTTTGCCCTTGACAGGAACACCCACTTCCTACTGCAAACTGACCAGTAAAACCTGGAAGTTTGGGGGTGGGGGCTGTCCCTTTGGGGCACATTGTGGCCCACAAAGAGGGCCCATGTGGGAATGAAGGCTCTCTGCCACTCAACGAACCACTCTACTAAGACACCACCCTTACTTAATAGAACCTGCCAGTCTGAGACCAGTGTCACCAAACTCAATACAATCCATGCAGCCTGATTTATTGAACAGTAGCCCTTCAATTTGGGTCACTAAACTGGTTGCTACCAGCAAAACAGAGCACTGGACCTTACAGCCTGCTGAAACTAGGACCTCTGGTTTCTATTTTCCATTCATAATTATGGGTTCATATGAAAAATCAATATTTGCCTTTCACTGTAGGAAACAAAAGCTTAAGTAACATTTGTCAAAAATTAAAGATCTTAATTTACCAAGGAATCCAGCATCGGGAAGGCAGCCAGGTATAGAAAGGCCTTTCTTGTTTTACTTCCCACAGAATCATCCACATGATGTAATTTGTTAATAATGTAATATCCCAGATCCGTATATGCTGAAAACACAAAATAAAAAGGGGGTAAATCAAACATAGTCAAAGTCATACCTAGCAGCTGATTAATCCCTGAAATCTGTACAGTTAGTCTTTCTCTATAACCCCATTTTAAAATAAAATCTCTTTAATGTTTGATGTTAGCTACAACCTCTATTACAGTATTTAAATTGTGCCTGAAGCTACATAATAGCCATTTTAAAAGATTACCCTGCAGCTAAGGAATCAGTGTGACCAACAGTTTGCTTCTATACACACACAAGGCTAGGATACAAACTCAAACCAGGCAGCTCTCATTTATTAATTATATACCATTTGGGAGTTAATTGTATTCAAGTGTTGGGTATTCATTGACAACTAACTCAAGCCAAATTATTATTCTGTTGTGGTTGCATGGTACACAATGTACATTTCTGTAAATAAAAGCTTGCAAATAAATAATTAGGCTCTGTGCAACATTTGACACAGTTTACGGAAATATAATACACCGACAACAACTTTAAGTCAACAAAAAAAACTCACATTCTTTTTGTTAAACATCCATGTTTATTGGAAAGCAAGTGGCTCTGGTATTGTGAAATGGAACAAATTCCTGTTCAGGACATTCAGGATCAATCAGGTAAACAGTGGTATGGCCAGCGGTAAAGTGACACTCTCTGTACCCTTGTACTCTATGTTTTAAATACTAACCTCTATTGTACCCACATTAATATTTTCATTGTGCAAGGCAGCCATTCTTCTGGCCTCTCTAACAAGACAGAATTTTGTACAAAATCATGTATTATAATTTAACGTAGAATCTAGAACACTACAGCATAGGATTAGGCCCTCTTTCCTGGCAGCATGTACCAGACACCTAACACCCTCTGTGTAAAAAACTTTTGGACTTGCACCTAAAATCTATGCCCTTTAGCATTTGACATTTCCAACCTGGGAAAAAGACTCCAACTAGAAACACAACTATCCACTCCTCTCATAATTTTGTACACTTCTATTAGGTTGGCCCTCAACATCTGACACTCTAGCAAAAACAGTCCAATTTTGTCCAACGTCTCCTTATAGCTAATACATATCAATCCAGGCAACATCCTAGTAAACCTCTTTTGTACCTTCTCCACAGCTTCCTTCCAATAGCATGGTGACCAAAGCTGTACAAAATACCCCAAATGTGGCCTGATGTTTTACACAGTTTGAACATGACTTTCCAACTTCCATACTCAATGCCCAAACTGATGAAGGCAATCATGCTATAGGTGTTCTTTACCACCTTATCCACTTATGTTGCCACTTTCAGGGAGCTACAGACTTGCACCCCAAGATCCCTCTGCATATCAATGCTCCTAAAGTTCATGCCATTTACTGTGTACTTTCCTCACATTTGTTTATGTTATGCATTCACTTTCATTAGAAATGTGGGAAAAACATCCCAAACTCATTGTAGCCCTTGGGTTGGCACGGAAAGCCAGGTCCCAAGAAATGTACTAAACCATGTATTTTCATCCCTGGGCAACAAACGTCACTAGCAGTTATTACTCAGTCTTGACCGCTCTCAAGAGGTGGTGATGAGCCACCTTCTTGAACTGCTGCCATTTCATGTGGTGTAGAACACCCACAGTGCTGTTCCAGCATTCCAGGATTTTGACCCATCAACAATGAAGGAATGGTGATATAGTTCTCAGTCAGGATGATGCGTGACTTGACCAGGAATTTTCAGTGGTCTATGTGTTTTCTGTCCTCCATCTTCCAGGTGGTAGAGGTCAGTGTGAAAGGTACTGTCAAACAAAGCCTGACAAATTATTGCAACGCATCTTGTAGCCGGCACATACTGCTGTCTCTATGCACCAGAGATACAAGGACAGAATGCTTAAGGTGGAGGATGGAGTACTCATCAAAAGGGTTGGACGATCTGTGGGTGGTGTGGAGCTTGTTGAATATTATCAGAGTTGCTTATCCAGGCATGTGGAGAGTATTCCATTACATATCTGTCTTGTACGTCATAGATGGTGGACAGACTTTGGGAAGTCAGGAAGTACATTACTCACCAATGGATTCCCAGCCTCTGACCTGGCCAAAGCATCTTCGATGACTTTCTTATGCCAGATAGCTCAACAGTGTTTTTTCCAATGGGCATGTTCAATGGTGAGTGACACAGCGCCCCCACCACCAAGAAAGCCTGCTAAGTTAAGCTCCATTCAGCTGGTTTAAAGCTTCTTGGTCAATTGCAGATTTCAACTGTGGAGTCCTATCTCACCAAAATCAGAGGTTCACAGATTCTGGGTTCTACATGCCGTTGGTTGGGGCCTAGGTCTCAGGGAATCCAACAGGGAGAGGGTAAGCATTTTTCTTCTGCTTCTCTTTGGTCGAGAAGCTTGGGGAGAAGGGTGTTACAGGCAGTCTCCCCTTTGTACCCATAATAGCCTTTAATTGGCCCCATTTTAAGTAATCAGGCTTGGAGGTGAGTTGAGGCCCTTAAATGAATGACTGTTGATTGACTACTTAACAATCTTAATTGCTGGTGAATCATAGAATGATAGAATCCCTACAGTGTGGAAACAGGCCCTTTGGCCCAACAAGTCCACACCAACCCTTGGAGCATCCCACCCAGACCCATCCCCCTTATAACTCATCTAATCTACAGAGCCCTGAACACTACGGGCAATTTAGCTTAGCCAATCCACCTAACCTGCACATCTTTGGACAGTGGGAGGAAACCGGAGTACCCAGAGGAAACCCACGCAGAGACGGGGAGAATGTGCAAACTCCACACAGACAGTCACCTGAAGGTGGAATTGAACCCGGGTCCCTGGCGCTGTGAGGCAGCAGTGCTAACCACTGAGCCACCGTGCTGCCCTAGTTGACAAAACCCCTAAAAGGACGTACTCACTCAGCACTCAACTGCTGAGGTGGCACGAAGGGGGAGACTATTTCTCCAGAGCCAACTTGCCCACTTATTTGCACTTTTCAGCACTTTTCTTGTCATAAAGGGGAAATTCCACCCAGAAAAAGTGACTGGGTGCTACTCATGAAAGAAGTATCAATTCTCGGTTGGGAAACTTTTGGTAAACTTTTAGGAAGTGCTAGAGATAGGAACAACACAACTGATTTGCAGAGAAGGTCTTTCTTGAGGAGGTATTATAGATCTAAAAAAACTGGAGAGGCTATCTATAAGGAAAGGAGATATTGACACCATCTTCTTCCCTGTGTGCTCGGCTGATGAATACCATGTAGTACGCCAATTATTGCAAAGCGCAAAGCAGCAGCAGCAGCAACAGGAGTTAACACTGGATGCCAGGCAGCAAGGGAGAGGCAGTCACAAGTCCTGACACACGCAAGAGTATACTGGACCAGCAAGACATGTTTGCAGTGCCAGAAGAGACTGGGGCTATCCAGGAAATCAGTCACCTACGGCACCATAATGCAGAATGAACTGGACCCAAGGGGATATGAGGGGCCTCCCAAAGCCAGAGACCTTGAAACTCACTGCAAGTCTAATTTCTAAACCTCCAGTTCCTTCCAGGGTTCAACAAGTGATATTCTGCTCAATCGCCCAAGCAGTCATTGACTGCTGCCAACACTGGTCAACAACACCCCACTTAAGAGAGCTATAGAGTTCATCAGATTCATGATTGTCAAGGACAGACAGCTATAGAGGACAGTGGGACTTGGCCTATATTGCTCCAAACATTATTTATTCATGCACTTATCAAGATGTCTTTTAAATGTTGTAATTGTACCCACATCCACCACTTCCTCTGGAAGTTCACTCCACAGAAGAACCACACAAAAAAAAAAATGCTGCTCATGTTTTTTTTTTAAAATTCTTCTACTCTCACTTTAAAAATATGCCCCTGAGTCACGAAATCCTTGATCCTAGGGAAACAACACTTGCCATCTACCTTATTTATACCCCTCATGATTTTATAAACCTCTAGAAGATCACCCCTCAACTTCCTACACTCCAATGAAAAAAGTTCCAGCCTCTTCAACCTCTCCTTATAACTCAAACTCTCCATTCCTGGCAACATCCTTGTAAATCTTTTCTGAACCTTCTCCAGCTTAATAATATCCTTCCTGTAACAGGGTGATCAGAACTGGATACAGTACTCCAGAAGACCAGGTAAGGATGACAGATTAGGTCCCTGGTTGACTAGATTAGTGGCATCATTATGACCGCAGTGCATGCATCTGCACTGGAGCTTGGTGCAAGGAAAAATGTGACATTGTGTTCTCAGTACACACATTGTCCTACCAGAGATGGGGCAGTGCTAGGCCTAAAGCTAGGGATTGAAGCTGGTCAAGTGGTTTAAGTTTTACTGGATGTGAATTCTGGTGATAGTGACCATACTTCCGATTGCTTCCAGATCATTACGGACAGAAACAAGGATAATGCAGAAGTGTCTAAACTGGGTGAAGGCCAATTTCAACAGTAATAGATAGAATCTGGCAAGCACAGACAGGGACTTGCAAGTAAGTCTACATTTGGAAAGTAGGAGTCTTTTAAAAGTTATATAGTGAGAATTTAGGGCCAGCGTGTTCCTCTAAGATTGAAGGCCAACGGCAGTAGATCCAGTGAACCCTGGATGTCAACGGCTGTTGAGTTTGATAAAGAGTAAACGAAGCATATGTTAGACAAAGCACATTAAAAACAGGGGAGGCCATTCAAAAGTATTGTGTGTGCAGGATGTCACTCAAAAAGGAATTTAGGAGGGCAAAGAGGGGCCACTAAATATCTTTGGCAGATGCAATCAAGGAAAACCCCAAGGCTTTTTGTAAGAATATTAAGAGTAAGAGGATTACCAGGGAAAGACTGGGGTCTATTAAAGACCAAATGGGTAACCTGTATAAGGAGCCAGTGGACAGGGGATGAGGTCTTTTATAGCCAGGGATTTCAGTTGGGATGATGAGGTTCTAGAATACATTAAAATGAATAAGGAGGAGGCATTAAATGTTTTAGCTGACATACAGGTGCATGATACCCCAGGTCCTCATAAGATGTATCCCAGGCTGCTATGGGAGGCAAAGGGAGGATATTGTTGACTGACTTTTATCAGTTATGAGGAGGAGGATGATAAGTTGTTTATTTTCCCTGGAGCAAAGGAAGGTGAGTGCGAATCTGATTGAAGTTTACAGAACTATGAGAGGCATAGACGGAGTAGATCGTGAGAATTCCTTCCCTGTGGCAGATATTTCTAAGACCAAACAACAGACTTTTAAGGTGAGGAGCAACTGGTTTAGAGGAGATCTAAGGAAAGATATTTTCACCCAGGTAGATATGGTAGTTCTATGACTTTATGTTGGACTATTGTCTTCAGAGGAACTCTGAAAAGGTTCATTGGGGAGTCTCTGCTGCAGTCGAACCTGCAGCAGGAAAACAACTAGTATTAGCTGCATGAATATTAAATAGTATACTCCCATCGATGTGTGCAGCAATCTTTTTATTGATACTCAAACAAACACGTTCCATGTCTGCCACTCAAAACTCAATTTCTGAGTAACTGCTCCATTGCAGCTCAAACGCCTCCAATTTGCAGTGGTGAACAGACAAATACCTGTCCCTCTTCCCCCACTCTTTGCTTTTGTCCATACAAGGACAAAACAAGTTAGGCATCAAGCGGAGCTGAGGAGAACCCCCGTACAGCTGAATTGTTCAACAGATACATGAAGAGTTACTATGCCTTTCCCAAGCTTAACTCTTGTGAAAGGTAGGTGCCACATAGAGGAAGTAGAAGATTTCTGTGATACACAAACATGCAGTCAATGCAACTAAAGCAGGTAAGAGGCACAGTGCATGCATCAACAGCCGTAATAATTGAGTACTCCTTCTGTCCCCACCCACTTTTATTGCACATTTCACCAACTTGTCAGTCTAATTCACTCTGCAAGGATAAGTCATTTACCCTTTACCTGCACTGGACCCAGTGTGCGGTGCCATTCCATAGCTCACTCTGCACAACCTCTGTCCAGGTCTTCTTGGTGAGCCGGGAAGATTTTGTGCCATATTGGCAGGAAATGAAAATATCTCATTATCCTGTTCATTTATCATCCCCTGACCTACACTGCTTCCCAGTTAAGCAATGTGTCAATATTAGAGGTTCACAATCTTGCCTTCAATGCCCTTTTTATCCTCAATCTACTCCAGCCTCTGAAATAGCTACACTCCTTCATTTCTACTTATTGAAAATCCTCATTCCCCTCCCCACTCCCGTTTTAATTACCCTTCCATTGTTGGTCATGCTTCAAGGAGGTTAAGAACATTTCTCTTCCCTCCTTTAAACCTATCTCCTTGATCAAGCTGTTTTAATTCTGCTCAAATACATCATTGGGTCACTGGGTGTCAAATGCTGTTTGATAACAAACTTATGAACTTTTATTGTCGTTACATTAAAGGCATTACATAAATACAAAGTATTGTCATCCAGTTCTAGGAAATATCATTAGTGCTTCCTTCTTCAAGATTCACTTCTGGACATGCAGCATGCCAAGGATAAAATAATTCAGCAGGATTTTAAGAAAGTAACAAGCATGCAAGATAGTCCAGTACCAATACAAAGAAAAGCAAAATGTGGTGGAATTTGGACATCTGAAATAAAATCAAAAGTGCTGGAGAAACACAGCAGGTCTGGCAGCATCTGTGTAGAGAGAAACAGTTAACGTTGACTCTTGTATGACTCTTTAACACAAACAAGTTTAAACAGACATCCAATACTTCTCAGAATAATGAATTAACATAATTAACCAAACTTTCAAAATCACATCTCAACTATGAAGATAGAAAAGTTACCTATTAGAATATGAAAGATGGCAGCCACAGTACCAGCTGTGACCATGCAAAGGACAGCCTTGATTCTATCGCGCCGACTGTGAACAAATACTAGTCCCACATTCTTAAAGTCACTCATTGGTCCAGTGAAGAACTTCATGAGGGAGTAGGCCAGCCCATAGCTAGCAAGCATCTCAATGGCATCCTCTTTAACAGCTGCTATACCCCTGTTTAGTGCCTGTTCAGAGATGACAGAAGATGGGAGAGAAGCAGTTAGTGAAATCCATAAAGTTACCTTTTAATATCAATTCAATAGGTCTTAACGTGATTGAGTGTGAACAACCTAAGATTCACCAGCAACACCGAGTCCCTATGGTTACGGTGCCCACAAGAGTTTTCCTTAAAAAATCAGTTTTGCACAAGTCATTCAACTTACTTGGCAAGAATGAGCCAGCACAAGATCAGTTTTCAAATGTGCTGTTAACAATCGTTGCAATAATGGCACATTTAAGCAATAGCGTGAAAAGCCTCAAATTAGCCTCCATTCTGATGTTAACAGACTTTCAGTTTCACAAAAAAAGTCTTGTGTCTAAGTCCCACACAATGTGAATTGTAATTTGTAAAATTACAAAACAATTAATTGCAGCATGCTATTTTACATGCTACAATTTCACAGATAAATCCTGAGAAGTGTTGAAACTTTTGACTCAGTATGCTTACAATTATACATTTGAAGATAGATTTACTGTAGTTAAACAGAGAGCTGGATAAAGCTGGTTGTCTGCTTTCCCTGTGGACAGGGACAATTACTAAGTTAGACTTCAACTGGCAATTTATATTACACATATGCACCATCCCCACCCAAAAAACAGGCAGTGTCTCTGCCCCTCAAACACATAAGCTAGCAGTGAAATTGCAGGAAGCCAGTGTGCAGCCCCATTGATAAAACCAACGAGACAGACAGGCTTTATAAAATATCATGATTAACGTCAAGGGCATGGTTGCCAATACTTATAATCTTTATTGTTATATTCTCTAAGAACTCTAATAAATTTCCTTAGAATCCCTAAAGTGTGGAAGCAGGCCATTTGGCCCATTGAGTCCACACTGACCTTCCAAAGAGCATCCCACCCAGACCCACCCCCTACCATATCTCTGCATTTCCCACCCTAGACACTATGGGCAATTTGGCATAGCCAATCCACCTAACTTGCACACCTTTGGACTGTGGAAGGAAACCGGAGTACCTGAAAGAAGCCCATACAGTCATGGGGAGAACGTGCAAAATTCACACAGACAGTTGCCAGAGGGTGAAATCGACAGTGCTAACCACTGAGCCATCACTTAACATAAATCTTCCCTTGTCTCTTACTGAACAGGTTACAGGTACCTAGCCTATACTAGGAGCAACTGTGTAATAAACTTTAATGTCCCTAAGGGAAGGAATCGGCCATCCTTACCTGGTCTGGCCTACATGTGAATCTAGACCCACAGCAATGTGGTTGACTCATAACTGCCCTCTGATCAATCAGGGATGGGCAGTAAATGCTGTCTAGCCAGCGACACTCTCATGCCATGAATGAATAAAAAAATTTTTAAAAAATGAACCTGGGGAGTTGAGTCTTGCTGTGTGCAAAATTGTTGACTTGTTTGCGGACCTAAAAATCTTCAACATACATGGGAAGTCTGAGGTGAAATAGCACTATATTTTAAGTGGTAAATATGTTATATACCTTTTCTACATGAAACTGATAACCAAGGCAGAAACATTTCAATTAAGCTAATTCCAACAATTGGAAAAAGACTATGCTGAGACTGGAGACAATGGTGAGCTGCCTTCTTGAACTGCTGCAGCCTTTGGTACCCACAGTACTGTAAGACTGGAAGCCTTATTTAAGGCTACAAACCAATGAGTACTCATGTAACATTCAAAATGGACCTGAAGAGGGAATCAAGGCTGGTTCAAAAGCAGCTGGGTGGGGATAAGCTTTTTATTTGGAAATAAACATCTCCCATGTCATTGCTTAGAGCTGAAAAGCATGCAAAGGGTAATGGGAGCTGAGCCAGTTGTTTTGAAACCTGACCTCATGCCCAATGTTTAGGCTATTGTGAGGAAAATTTGTTCTTAAAACAAAATTATCTCCTTATGAGCTTTATTGCATTTTTTCTCAAAATCATTATCAATAATGTGAATGGTATTACTGCACAGAAGCTTGAAATCTTAAAAATCAAATTGATGTATGTGTGGACTTTCACACTTCCACTACCAGACTACCAGACCTGTACAGTTAATATGAATTTAAAGATCAAATGTTAACACAGTGATTTTCAAATGTTTCTGCAAATATTACAGCATGCACAAGGGCAAATGAATCAAATTGGCAAAGGAGCCCTTGGATGAATTCAAAGAATATGCTAAGGACAGTTCCTTAGATCAATGAATTCTGGAACCAACCAGGGAACCTGCTAGTTTTGATCTGATAATGTGGGATTAATGAATGACCTCAACAAAAGGGTTCCTCTTGTTAACAGTGATCATAATTTGTTAGAATTTCACTTTCACTTTGAGAATGAAAGTTATAGGTTGGAAAGCAGAGTCTTAATTTAAATAAAGGCAATTACCAGGGCATCTAAACAGAGTTTGCTATAGTAGAATGGGAAAACAGATTCAAAACTAAGATGGTAGGGAGCAGTAACATATATTTACAGAGATCATTGAATCACCACAGCGCAGACAGAGGCCATTCGGCCCACTGAGTCTGCACTGACCCTCTGAAGAACATTCCACCCAGACCCAGTTCCCCACCCTAACCTCATAACGTTGCATTTATCATGACTAACCCTGCACATCCCTGGACACTGTGGGGCAGTTTACTATGGCCAACCCACCTAATCTGCATGTCTTTGGACTGTGGGAGGAAATCAAAGCACCTGGTGAAACCCATGCAGACATGGTGAGAATGTGCAAACTCCACACAAAAGACAGTCACCTAAGGCTGGAATTGAACCTGAGTCCCTGACACGGAGAGGCACCAGTGCTAACCACTGAGCCATCACGTTACCCTAAGAGTTAATTCATAACTCTTGGTAAAAATATATTCCATTGAGAAAGAAAAGACTGAGAAGGCTACACCATCAACGGCTACTTAAAGAGATTAAGGAGGTATCAGTCGAAAGTTGTACCATGCTGCAAAGATTAGTAGTAGGCCAGAAAATTGGGAACATGTTAGAGTCCTGCAAAGGATGACCGAAAACAAATTTAGATGGAGAAATTGGCGCACAAGAGAAAAATAATGAAAAGCATAAAAGATATACCTTGTGACACAGTGCTGTGTCCCTATTTTGAGGCAGGAGACCCAGATCTGCTCCACATTTCTCAACAGTTTGATTAGAAAACATGTAAAAACTGACAGTAATGTCTGGACATCAAGATAGCATTTGACCAAGTATAGCATCAAGGAACATTTAGCAAAGTCCTTTTGCATATTCCTCAGCATCTCATCTCATAGCTTAAATCTGTTCCCTAGTGCTGGACCATCACTTAATGAGAACATCTTTTCTTCAATCAAAGCAAAATATTAAAGACAAGAAGAGTTATATTGGACTCAAAATATTAACTTTCTTTCCCCACAGATGCTGCCAAACTTGTTGAGTTTATCTGATCATTATCTAATTTCATTGTAGCCTTTCCTGGGTTATCTTATCAAAACCTGTTATAATCTTGGACCGCTCTGTCAAAATCTCCTTTACTCCAAAAACAACAACTCCAGCTCCTCCAACCTCACCACTAGAATTCCTTGTGCAATGTGGTAAATCTCCCATGCACCATTTCCAGCAGCTTCAAGTCTATAGAATGCTGGTCAGAATACTTAGACCAGAACCAGAATTTAATAAAATGTTCAGCATTTTGTACTTGATGCCTCTCTTTATGAAATCCATGATTTCTTATGATTTGTTAAATAACTTCTCACTGTATTATGTTACCTTCAAAAATCTATGCACATAAATCCCTCGGTCCCTGCCTCTAAATGGAGATCCAATCAGGGCTGAAGCCAAAGAAGAAATAAGAATTTTTAAATGCATTCAGGAGAATATATTTTGGCCATTACATAGCAAATTCAATGAGAAAGATAATGTTGAACTGCAGGAATTAGAGTCATAGAGTCCTACAGCATGGGGACAGGCCCTTTGATCCAAACTGGTCCATGCTGACCATAATGTCCATCCACGCGAACCCCGTTTCCCTGCACTTGGTCCATATCCTTCTAAACCTTTCCTATCCATGCATTCGTCCAAATGCCTTTTAAATGTTGTTAATGTATCCGCCTCGAACAGTTCTGCTGGCAGCTTATTCCATATGCATACCACCCTCTGTGTAAAAAACGTTGCCCCTCAGGTTCCCATGTATTCTTTCCCCTCTGACCTTAAACTGATGCCCTCTAGTCCTCAATTCCCCAACCCTGGGAAAAAGACTGAGTGCATTCACCCTATCCATGCCTCTCATGATCGGCAAGACTCCCCCTCATCTCCTGTGCTACAAAGAAAAAAGTCCTACTTTGTCCAACCTCTCTGTATAACTCAGTTGCTTGAGTCCTGGCAACATTGTTATAAATGTCTTCTGCACTCTTCAGTTTAATAACATCCTTCCTATAGCAAGATGACCAAAACTGAACACAATACGCCAACTGCAGCCTCACTAATGTCCTGTACAACTATAACATAACTTCCCAACTTCTGTACTCAATGCCCTGACTGATGAAGGCCAGTGTGCCAAAAGCCCTCTTCACTGCCCTATCTACCTGTGACTCAACTTTCAGAGAACTGTGCACCCAGAGATTGGATATCGAGAAGGGAAGTCACTGTCCTGCTTCGCTTCCCTTTCTCCCTAGGCAGCAAACCCACCCCCTGGGATTCAGCAGTTAAGCAGTTTCTAAGAGATCCATTGGTAATCCTTACCATTGGTCTGTGTACAATACCACCAATGCTCATCCTTCCTTCTGGCATTGTTGGTACTGGAGATCTGATAACTTAGGTGGGGGGGTTGACAGAGTGTCAGCCCACTAGATGGTTCGATGATTTAATGTCCAAGGCGAATTCAAAAGCCTTAGCAGCAGGAATTTTGTTACAATATGGCACTTAATTTAATCAGGTTTGCCCTCATCAGGTTGGTGGGAGAGTCACTAGATTTCATTGCTGTGGTCAGAGCTCCAACTGCCGATGTTAAACTCTAAATCTGAT